TAAACTTTCTTCTCTTTTCTTGGCACACACTTTTGACCTATCTGGTTTCTTACAGAAGTCTTCTGCATCCCAAAAGTCCTCTAGGATCTTTGGACAGTCAAGGTCATTTTCATCTACCCAAGAATCATCATCTTGGGTAAAACCAGACCATCGAACAAGATACTGTACTCTCTCTTTTTCCTTATCCCTGATGTAGCGGAAATCAAGAATTTTCTCAACCTCGTATTCTTCCTTGGAGAAACTGAATGTATTTCCTTCACTTTTTGTGCTAAGTTTATTTTCAGATCTTATAATCTTTTTTATTTGTCCTTTTGAAGTCTGGGCAGTGACTGACTTCTCTTTTAGAAATTCATCCTCTGAATCAAGATCTTCAAAATCTGATACAAACTCTTCATAATAACTTTTCTTACATGATTTAAGTCTTGTTTTCCTTAACAATGTTTCGTCTCTCCTGTCATGTGATGGATCTTCAAAATCTGATACAAACTCTTCATAATAACCTTTCTTATATGATCTAAGTCTTGTTTTCCTTAACAATGTTTCGTCTCTCCTGCCATGTGATGGATCTTCAACTACTGATTTTACTGTGTTGGAAACAACTCTTCTTGATGCAAGGAGTTCATTGGCTGTCCGTGATTTCTTTGTGCCTGACTGCTGTTTTCCTTCATCAGACCCCTCATCGATTATCAAGTTTCTCTCACTAATATCTGAATCACTGACATCTCCCCCAATACTTTGGTGAGATCCAGTATCGTCAGGGTCAGTCTTACAGCTTGTACTATCACCTTCAAATGTGCTCCTACGAACTGGCCGTGACTGTGACAACAGGTACTGAATGTCTTCTAACCAGTCATCCTCCAAATACATCATTGCATCCTCCTTGTTTATATTACACATTTGCTTGTATTCATCATACAGTTTGACAGATGAAGACATCAAAGTTCCTGCAGGCACCCGTATTAATTTAATCTTTCTCTCTGCCATAAGCTGCTCCACATTTTTCAGAAGATCTGTGACAAAAACATTGCTTCCTAATTTCTTCTTATTCCTCAACCATTGTGTATACAAGTAAACAATATCTCCTCTTGTTATAGAACCTTCCTTACCTCTTGTTTTTATCACTTCCTCCTCTATAGTAAGGTCTTCTGACTGTGGTGAATTAAGAGCTGTTGCACATTTCATTTTCATGCTATTTGCTTCTTCTTCCGGGGGTGATCTCTTCTCAACTTCCTTCTTACCCAATAACTTAGAATGTTTCAGTTTTGAGTGTAAAGCTTTCCTTCTGGAGCTATGGTATTTCTTTAACACTTTTCCACTCTTTTTTATCTTATTTTGCAAAGTCTTCACTGAAGGCCTATGGATGCGGTATGGCATTTTCTCTGGCAAAGAAAATACTTCATTTGCCTTAGGGTGATCTGCTTGAAGAGTTCTACCTAATATACCTATCTTTGATGTTGTAGACAAAATTCTGCCAGGATCATGAGGAACTCCAAGCATCCAAAAGAGACGGCACACCAGGGAAGTTAGCGTTGACCCGCGAGAAATATAGAAATCAAAAAGCTCTTTGACAATTCCATTGCTGAGCTTAATATCAAGCTTGTCCTTTGTGTTAAGATCGCCAACTGTGAGTCCCACTGCACAGGAGCGTGGACCTAGATTATAGTCCAATTCTTTGAAACAGGGAATCACACGGCCATCCTCTAAAGTGAATGACACCCGCTTGTTTTCCATATCAATATATTTATTCAAGTGTCTTGGGCCAATGAAACATTTCTTTGTTCGTTCTTTCTGTGTTGGAGTTTCATTTTCAGCAGGAAGGGTAGCATTACCTTTACTGTAAGTAGATTTCTTTAAATCATTATTCTCTTCATTCTGTGTTGCACTAACACCAGGATTAGAGGATTCTGTAAATGGGCCTTGTTTTTCCATAAACAAGTACTTAAATTCTATAGAAACACTTCCCTTGGCGCTAGGTTTTCGCACTCGGCCACTCTTACTAACCCCAAGTGTTCCTTTGAATTTGTTGCTGCCAGTCTGCTTCTTTTCACCAGCTTGTGTTATGCCTACACAACTTGTACTAGTGTCTATACCTACTGCTTCATCAGTACCTGATGATGTTTGACATGTATATGGGCTTGAATCAAGTACAGACTCCTTACCTGCTGCCTGAAAAGTTTTAACACTAGAATCAACTAATGATTTGTCTTCTTGTTCCTCCTTTACTTCTACAGTCTCCAGGTTTGTGGAAAATGTAATTTCTTCTTCCTTGCAAGTAACATCATCCCCTAAATATTCACTTATTTCCTCAACTTCTTCAAGTGGTTTTGCAACTCTTTGTCTCTTGGATCTTCTAACATCACTAACCAAATTTTCGATAGTCTGTTCATGAATGACATTTTCCAACTTGACATCACTGACTGTTGGCAAAATAAATTTGGTTTCATCAAATTCCTGAAGTTTTGCACTTCCAAATTTCTGTCCTGCTAATGTAACCATAAGT